GTGTGTGTGTGTGTGTGTGTGTGTGTGTTTTAATTCACTGAGTACGGTATGTAACAGAATTATGTTTGCCTGGGCCTGAGGAGCCCAGTTTGCGAGATGAGCAGACCAGGAAAGTTGTCATCTTAGGAAAGGTTTACTGTCCTTTATGAAAATTCACCCATGATCAGATGCCACTCTATCTAGAATGAGAAGGCTCTTATTCTTCTGTTTTACTTTGAGTGCTTTTATTTCACAGCCTCACAATTGAATTTGAAGTGCGAACCGAAGCTGATTCAGGCTTGCTTTTCTACATGGCTCGGATCAATCATGCTGATTTTGCTACTGTTCAACTGAGAAATGGATTTCCCTACTTCAGATATGACTTGGGAAGTGGTGACACCAACACCATGATCCCCACCAAAATCAATGATGGCCAGTGGCACAAGGTAAGGATCCCCAGGATATTGGTTGTGCCCTCCATGGAGGGTACTTGGTGGCAACTGTCGGCATTGCCCTGGTGCCAGTACTGTTTTGCTGGGGAAGACACTGACCTGGTGCTACTGAAATGTGGCCTAGGCTAAAAATAAAGCAAGTGCTGTATACAACTGCCAACCTTGGAAATGTGATCAGACCTGGGTAGGTTTGTATTTGACCACTTACATGCCTCATCATGGTACTTACGAGATTCCATCATTGCTATACAGTTGTGCTTCCCAAACACCTGTCCACAAATGAGGGCCCAGTAGGTGAAGACATTCTCGCTACTCTAAGTGGGAAACATGGACAATGAAGTGTGTGGGTTATAAAGCTCTATGAATTCAATTTGAAAGAAGGCTACTTAACCTGAGGTTATATTTTCTACTTTAAAGCTGCTAAAATGGCCTCTCTTTTATGAAGTTATATTTGACAAACTTGAAAGCTGGCAATACTAAAATGTTCCTTAAGACTCACCCTCCCATCCTACCCTATACTGGTCTGTAAAAGTCAAGAGTATGGAAATCTGTTCTATCGTGTTTAAGGGGCTCCAGGGTATCATTTACACTGACAGTCATTTGGAACAACTCCTAAAACATTGGCCTTACACACAGAAAATGATACTGTTATGGGCATAGAAGGCTCATCTGCCAGTTTACTGTCTTCTTTGGCATGACCTGAAGTAGATAATATACTGCCTGATTAAAATGAAAACTCAGAGTCTGTTTCTGTACCTGTGATAGCCTATTAAGTAAAGCTTCCCTAGGCAGACCAATAAAATGTTTAATTTTTAGGGTATGTTATTAGATGTTGTATTTTATATACGTGGACTTGTTAAATGCTCATTGAACATTTTGTATGGGTAACATATCAAATAGAAAGCCAAAGAAACTAAAAATATGTAATAAAAATGCAATGTCAACCAATTTGTTACCTTGGAAATGAAAAGTGGAATCTTCATGATTGCTTGGGAGCTTATGACTAGCAAGTACTGATCTTTATAATGGAGTTCTCATTAAGGATTATTCTCATCTCTGGCTAAGAGAATGATAGATATGACACTTGAGAAGAAGCCATATTGTTGGACCACGATGAGTCTGGGATTAAGAAAGCAAGTTTAAATACTATAAGGAGCCAAATTAAGGAGAGATGTTAATTGTGAAGGTTTATAAAAATTATTTTCCAAGCCAGAGTAAATACATATAAAACGAGATCTTAAATTATTCTAATTCTGATGTCAATTCATTTTTTTTTAATTGGGGAAT